CAAGCACTGACAGAGACACAGGGAAAGACAGAGAAAGAGCGCTATGGTTTGGAAATGAGTACAGTAAGAAAAAACACTTAAAGACACTCCTTGTTGCAGTCTGCTTTATTACATATGATACAGTATTAAACAATTATATCACCAAATCCAATACAGGTTACGTGGTTTATAAACCAGGAGGGAATTGGATGATTGTTTAAGTAAAGTAAGTTAAATCAAACAAATGCTGCTTCAACAACTAATGTTCTCTTTTCATTAAACTGTATCCACAGTAGATGTATGTATGTATAGTATTGCTCAACAGTGGTGGTGTAAACTAATTTGACATGGGGGGCCGCGATGGGGCCAATAATTTAAAGCAGGAAGAAGGACATTTTAACATTTTTTGTTTAGTATAAAGTAATAGCTTAAAGTTTAAAATAAACATAACATACCATAATCGTTGATTTAGTGACAGAGTGTGTGTCAATACAGAACATAAAAAATAAGTTTGTGGTAATAAATACATTATTTATGCAACCAACTATGGTTTTATTTTATTTCTTTGTATTTGTTTTAGTCTCAACATTTGTTTCAGTAACTTAGTTTTACTCCTTAAATTACATTACTGAAAAAAAAACCCTGTTAACTTTGGCCCAGGTTATAGCACAGTAACTTAGTATTTTACATGAATTGCACTATCATAGATTAATTATTTTGGAGGGGGGCCACAGGGGATCCAAGCTCCTTGTTACTGGGGCACTGGCCCCTGTTGACCCCCCTCTAGAACCACCCATGTTGTACAACCACGCAAAACAAAGAAAAAACAATACAACATTTAGTTGCCAGATACATTTCTTTAATTTTCCAAAGTATTGAAACACTTCATAAAATGTATTACAGTTAACCAGCAGCATAACAGTGAGCCTCCTGTAGGATGAGGAAAATAAAGCATTATAAACTGACCCTCATGACCTTCATAGAGTTTTTCTAGGTCATGTTCATCAGTTCCAGGAAACATGAGTTTTGCACTGCAGCGTAAGACTTGTACGTCTGATACAGAGGATTTATTTCTGCTGTTCTCTGCCGACAAATATTAGCGTGAATATTTTAAACACAATATGCTGTAGAGATAAAACATATGAAGAGAAGACATACTGAACCGAATATATGTAGTAAAGTGTGTGTGTGTGTGTGTGTGTGTGTGTGTGTGTGTGTGTGTGTGTGACAATTATAAACCCCACGCTTACGTCTGTCATTTCAAGTTCTTTCCACCTACAGTCCACTTTATTGATCATAGTCATATATATATTATGATTACATTTTCAAGCTTTAGACAATGACGCTTATTTTTGTGTTTATGGTTTTTACTTCTTCTGTATGTTAGTTCATAAAGCCCTAACAATGTATTTGTTACTTTGACTTTTTAGCCGTATTTATTTCTGTCTAGGTTAGCCGTGTTGCATTTCCTCTCTGGGGATCAGTAAAGGCTTAACTTTCCTCTTAAAGATACAAAATATAAAACATACACTCTACACTAATAAATGACGTAAAAGCATAATGGCTTCTCTAAAGGTTTCAGGATTATAAAAAACAGAGGGGCAAATGTGTGGCAGGATAATCATCAAAACATGTCTACAATTGTACTTTTGTGCATTTTATATATTACAAAATGCACTTATGAATTAATCAACCACGACGCCAAACACCATTTCACGTGATAAACTCCCATCGAGGCGTATGTAATGATAGAGGGTTAACATATATGGGACTTGACATTAAACATGTTTTCCTCCGACAAATGTGCAAGAGATTTATAGTTTGCACCCATTTCATGATAGAACATATATATTTAAATCCATTACATGTAAATGTCATCAAAACAAGAGTACACACCAGCAAATGAAACAAATATGAATGATAAAAACATCTGGTTTCAAATATATGAATATGAAGCAACATGACTAATTGTACAGATAACAAGACATCTCCGAGAGGATCTGTGGTGAAATCTTGATGACAAAATACGGTGTAATATATATCAGCTTATGCCTCAAACGATCGACTGTCAAATGTGTCACACAATATCTAATAATACATCTAACAATAAAAGTCACAAACAAAAGACAGTCCACTGTATGACTATATTCTACACCACATTTTTGAATAAGAATGATGTTTTTCTCCATAAAATAGACATTACACATTCATTTATTTGAGCTAATGCCAAACAAACATATTTGTTACCACTAAGCCAGAGCCAAAAAGGTCCATTTGAGTGCAGAAAATTCTACATACTGTACACCACTGTGTATTTGTGTTGAGGTATCTGCATGAGTTCAGTCCCTCCATTTATACTTACTCCTCTCGTTGCTGTTGGTTTCCTCTTCACAACTTAATATCCCATAATGCCAGGAACTGCCATTACAGTAACAGAGAAGTAACAGGTGAGTCAAAATGATGACTAACGGGTGAATAGTGAATCAGTATTGAAGGTGCTGCGACCTTCAGATTATAAAGACGTCTCTTCTGAAAGCATTTGAATGTTAAGCTATGCGATGGAACTGTACAGGGTTCTCTCTTTCTCACTGGCTTCCCCTGGTCCACCACACACACATACACACACACACACACACACACACACACACACACACACACACACACACACACACACACACACACACACACACACACACACACACACCTGAATGCACACACACACACACACACACACACACACACACACACACACACACACACACACACACAGATGTAAGTTTCAGGTTGGAGACCCCCTGTCTGACTAAGATAGGGAAGCCCATGCAGGTGTTTATGAGTGACTAATACCTGAAACAGAGATATGGAAAGGTAGAGTGGGCTTTCAGAGCGTTTTGACTGGGTCTCCCTGTAACATCAACAGAATCCCCTGCGTACTGAAAACGACTTGTGAAACCTCAATCTGGTTTCCATCATGGTTGCATTCTCAAAAAATGTCAAAGTGATTTTTTACAAAGTTAAGTTAATAATCTTGGTCTGCATTTTGAGTAAATCATGTGACGGGGTACAGAAATGCCTTACAGACACAACACTGTCTCTTACTCTCTGTTATGTCTCTTTGTCGCTCTCCTCCCACCCATGGAACAGATGAATCGCCCACATTAGAGCGAAATGTCAGCACCTATTGCCCATTACTAAATCGGTGCATTGACTTTCCATCACTGAGCAGGAAATAGGACGGGCGCTGGGTTGCGCCATAGTCGCTGAAGCACTCTCAGTTCATGTGAAGGGAGTTTCACTTTCCAACAACTGTGAGACAAGCTTTCCCATGAAGTGACAGGTGACATTATGATTAATTGTTGCTATAGGTACAAGCTATGTCCTTTGTTGTTAGTATAAATAGTTTTCCTATATTTGCATCCCAATTGGTTGTGCTAGGATTTCACTTACAAGTTCAATACAGCTTCACACAGGCCACAGAGCAGTAGATCGTAAAACACAGTTGCATCAGGTGAAGTTAGCTCTTAAAGAGATTCTACAACCCTTTAATATTTCACCCTTGTAAAAATGAAGCAGCTAATCATGAGTTATTCTGACTTTTGACGCAGGTATAAGTGAAGCCACGGAAAAACTTGACCCTGCTTGTTCCATAATGCATCTTAGCAGCATCTTTTGTTAGAAAAGAAAATGTCACACCTCGAGTTTACAGCAGGTGTTTTCAACTGCTGCGGTCTGCAGCAGTTTTGTGAATCATGAGACAATGATTTACTGTTTAATCAATAAAGAGCTTTTAATCCTGATTCTGCTGCCACCTAGCTGTGATGATGATCACCTCAATGTCGCAGTGATGCATGTTAACGCAGAGTTGCATTGGGGGTCGGGTGTGGCCCTTCTACACGGATGCAACTTTTTAAATCTAGCCTACATTTCCATACTTTGTTATTGTGAAATCATTCTAGGTGATGCTACAATTTCAGTTTTCTTTTAAAAATATTGCCTGTTGGAGGGATTTTAATCAGCAAAACTACTCCTACTATAAAGAAAGATGTTCAAATACATCCTGTAAGACAAATACGTTGAGCACTATAACTGACAATATGGTCCCACATGAATAAAGGTTAAAAGTGAAATTAATTATCCACTATCCATAAATGTATATGTTAACAACTCATGAAAGCATTGTGTGGATTCTTCACAAACAAAAAGTGAAAGAGAGACACCCCGAAAAGGCACTCAGGTGTAAAACCATTTGTCTCACTGGCTTTTGAAACCAAATCACGCACAATCACACGTTTTTCTGCAGTAAGAATAAGACGACAGCACATATTGTTTGAGATATAGTGCAGTCTTTATCTAATACTTTTCTATTCTATATTATGTCTTACACTTGTACTTGTCTGGGGTGGATTGCGTGTTACATCATGTGTGTGCGTCCACCGCTAATCTCACATGAAGTTACTAGCATAATTTTTTTTGTGATCATTTTTATTATCTTTTATGCCCTCAATGAATGCCAAATCCTCACTCCTTTTAACCAGCCGGTATAGGGACCACACATGATCAACTACTGCTGCTTCATTAGGTAAGGCCTTTTCTGCAATGGGCCATGTTTCCTGTTTTCGTTAGTTTTGCCACCATCTTGACCGTAAGGGAGCCATGATAGACAAGATAGACGGAGATCTGACCTCTTCTGAGTGCACTTTTCTCGTTCAATATTAAGATTTGTGTACCTTGTGGTATTTTTAGATCCCTCTGACACAGTGATGTCCCTATAATTGTCTTTTCAATCCGTTCAGCTCTATTACATATGTGATTGCGAGAAGACATTTCCCGAGGACGTTCAACAAATTGGTTATTTTAGGAACCAAGCATTATCAATCCTTTCGCAGCTTCCCCATTTCTGATCAAAAACAGGAGGTGAAACTCCTAACGCACAAGGACACTTCAGCATTAAATATCTTTGCCTAAATTGTGTAAAAGGATTAAATGGATACCTCTTGAAAATCACCATTTGATTCGTGACTCAGTAGTGAATATGAAAAAGTGGGCTGCTACATAAATTCTTGTAACGCTTTCTTCCCAGCCTACATAGTGTGTTGTGTTGAGTTTGTGTGTCGGCATCAAGTTGCTGTTCACAGCAGTGAGCAGATCGGTGGGCTGCACATCAAAACATCCTGCAGACCACGACCGTGCAGAGGGCTCTGCACCTCTCTGCTGCAATGATCCCATTTGACAGAGCCGAGAAGAAGGTTACAGCTGGGGCGTGGTTTGATATCTCGCTGAATTATCTCACAACAGGCTCCAACAAACACCACAAAGACGTGCTATTGTTTTCTGCGACATAAAAAAAATGGACCAAAAGTTGATTCTGGTGATTCTGATGATTTGTCATGGTAGGTTCAACCTGAATATTTAAATTATTTTCATGAACTTTTGGCAGCTTTAAGGTGTCCTTTAGCCTGTTTCTTATCATCTTTCGCTTTTGGGGTCTTGAAAACACACAGTTGGCTGATAACTGCTCCCTTTGTTTCATATTTTCCAGAAATGACTTCAGGAGCTGTCATAGACAGAGCAGTGAAGGAAGGAAAGTCGGTTCAAATAAATTGTGAACCTCTTGAGATGGGCCACATGGTCATCTGGTTTCGACATCTGGACACAACTGGCATGGAGTTCATTGCATCTTTCACCAATAACGGCATGCCAAAATCCACTGAAAACTCCATTTCCAAATTATTCAGGCCCTCCACGTCTCGGCCAATTTCTTTAACACTGCAGTCTTTCAACCAAATTCGGGACAGCGGCGTTTACAGCTGTGCGTCGCTCAAAGGCAATAAAATGATATTCGGCAACCCAACACGACTGTTCCTAGGTGAGGTGTTCTCTCTTGCTTTTGGGCTAATGGTGATATAATGGCTTCTTTTCAGTATCACCTTCCATCACTTCTGTCATCTCCTTCACACATCTCTCCTCTCCTTTTAGAAAAAGTTGAAGTCACAGTAGAAGTAACCTCGCAGGCCACTGAGCAAACAAAATGCACGACTTCCTCGCCGTGTGTTTGTGAGAGCGTTGTTAACAAGCCAGGTACATTTTCCATACCTCAGTTTCATACCTCTGTTTCTCTGAGCATTTATTTTCTTCACTGTGTTTGATGCTGGTGGCAAATGGATTGCAGGGGAAACCAGTCCTGAGATGTTTTGCTCTCTAATCATTCTGGGCCCACTGGCTGGCGGCTGTGGCCTTCTTCTTCTACTCCTCATCATCACCTCCGTGTACTGCAACCGTAAGTTCATCTCATATCTAAAACCCATGATAAAAACCCTGAAAATGCTTTGATAAAAATTATGAAATTCTGCAAATGTTCCCCAAGATTTGTTTTCTGCTTTTCTTGATTTTGATGTTTATAAAGATTTGTAAAATGTCTGACAATTCTTGATGTCATGTAGACGTAAGGACACGGAGATGCCCACACCATTACAAAAGAAAGTAAGTCGTTTTCTATTTATCCAACATTGTCTTTCCAATTAGAAATATTAAAGCCACCCCAACCCTGACACCAAAACGAAAGTGTTTTATGTGTTGGTTTAAAAAGTATATATATTTCTGTATTTATTTGGCTGTTTAATATTATATTTAGCATATTTTAAATTAATCTGAAATGTTCTTTTAATTAAACTTCTCTTTGAATCTAAAATTGCTTATAAACGTTACATACCAAACTCTAACTTAATTTCCTGTCTGAACTTCGTCTCCATTTTCCCGTAATAAGTAACAAATTCTAAGCAGATTTTTTTTCGGGACACTATAAGAAGCTGTTACACCCCTAAAATAGTGTTAATAAATACCGTTTACTAATCCCATGATAATTTTTTGGAGAAAACAGAATTCTTATTTTTTTTTAAAGGCAGTGTCACGTTTCGAAACGAGGGCATAACCTCTGTGTTTTTAAATGTATCTACGGCCCTGCAATCCTTTTCGATTGAATTTATTCACACCAAAGTAACTGCATTAGTATTAAGTTATTATTTGTGTTATTATTAAATATGTAAATACCTTGTTTATCCCACACAGACCGGTGATGGCTCCTGGAAAACAACTGATGATGACCAACAGTCATGTTTGAACCAAATGGTGACAATTATTTTCATTTCATCCAACAGCATTTTTTTATAGTGTTGTTATACTGTCTTATTTCAGCTTGATCACATTCATGGTCACTGTTTTTCTGCTCAAACATTTTCATTGTTTTTGATAGTTAATAAAGAAAACGCTCAGTTTATAAATACTTCAAATATCTTCATCGTCAAAGTTTTAACTGCATTGATAACGACAATAATGCACTGCTTTCACATTTAGATCGAACTCTAATTGGAATAACTTGAAATTAAATGTCTATTCATCCGAATATTGATCATAAAAACACACTGAAGTCCTGAGAATTTTATAATTAAACCTAGATATGTTTATATTAAAGATTATGATATTTTTTATAGAATTAATTTTGCTTTTGTATATAGCCATGTGACAATTTAATCGGGTAACTGTTGACTTGTACTGTACCCTCATGATCTTTTAAAAAAAGTAGAACGGCACCTTCCTTTACTTATAAAATAAAAATATATATAACTAAAGATATAAACAGAATTTTCTATTGAACATTTTAGAGTCTTATCTTTATTTAGTAAAATGTTTTGTAATAGGTATGTTGTTGGGTTCAGAGTTATCAGACCCAGATAGTAACACGTACTCATTTAAATGTTTTAATCGGATGTACAGTTTTTTGTGAATTATCCTACTTTTTAGATTTGTTGTAACTTGAAATTCAAATAAAAATATATTGTCACTCAAATCAAAAACAACATATTGTTTATTATTTTATGTATTTTTTCACATCAAACTCACCCATTTGCATACCAATTTATCATCTTGGTCTTGGCGCAGAAATATGAAGTTTACATGAATTTTGAGCAAACACTCTGTGAGCCCCTCAGAGTCAAAAGGAAGTGGGCTGCTAAGTCTGCATGCAGAGTGAAAACCCACAAAGTCAGGAGCAAAGAAACATTAAGAAAGATCGTTTTATAGGAGATTCGGTTCCCGTTCAGTGCGTATAAATGTCCCGTTGTATTTTTTCACATATTTAAAGCGGTTCATGTTAGTTTCTGTTTCTCTCTTTCGACACACACACACACACACACACACACACACACACACACACACACACACACACACACACACACACACACACACACACACACACACACACACATATTTTAGTGCGAGTAACACCAACTGTCTCTTTTCTATTTGTGCCACTTTTAAGTTTTCTGCTGTCAGTGCCCTCTATTAAAAAGAGACAGTTGGTGTTACTCGCACTAAAATATGTGTGTGTGTGTGTGTGTGTGTGTGTGTGTGTGTGTGTGTGTGTGTGTGTGTGTGTGTGTGTGTGTGTGTGTGTGTGTGTGTGTCTAGGAGTGAAACACAGACCAGGTTTAGTCTGTAAATATTCAGGGCTCTGCTACAACTCATGTTGCTACAGCGTGGCTCTGGACAAGCCAACAATGTTTTAAGTCTCTGTCCCTATAAAGTAAAAAAAAATCCAAACCTCATTACCTTGACTCTGGATTGTTTCGACATTAGTCTCCAAAGCATTAGATTTATGATCATATATATTTATATATACCAATAAAATACATTACAGGTGCCACCCCAAAATGCAGCCAAACTCAAAACTGTGTCTGAAACCAAAGTAATAAGATGCAACAGAGTAAGTATATGTACATATGAAGGGGGGGTGGGAAGCAAATAAGGGGTTAAGGGCTGTATTAACAAGACCAATATTACAAAATATTCAAGAAGGCATCTCAGTTATTTTCTCTGTCCCACTGCGCTGCCCTGTCCTCCGGGCCTCTGTCCCTTTTCCTGCGGGCAGTCCCTCCCATCCACAGATCAACTTGTGATGAGTCTTTTTCTTTTTTTAAAAATCCATCAGATGGGAGGTTGCAGCTTTCTGCGTGGCGGTGTGTGCGTGTGTTCTGGTGCGTGCATATGAAGTGTATCGGAGATCCATCCACGGCAGGTCCCTACTTGAAGTTGGCGTAGTCAGAAAAGGCATCGATGTACTCCTGGACCACTTTGTAACAGAACTCGTACTGCTCCTGCAGAGAGAGGTGTGGGGGGGGGGGGGGGGGGGGGGCACAGGAGGAAGAGTTATTTCAGTTGGAACTACCAATGGTGATAATACATTTTCATTAAAAGAAAGTTTAAAACTACCAATGCTGTATTTCCTAAACCGTCTCCTGAGCTTGCACTATTGTTATTGTGTGCTTTTAATTGCTTTGATGTCTCGTATATATTCAAATTGCATTGTTGAGGGCTCCGTGACCCAACTATACTGTAGTTGTGTATATGACATTTAACCTTTGAAATCTTGGAGGTTTTTGTACAACGGCTAACAGTGCAAACAGCAGTACAATCAAACAGCTGTAGTTTGAGTATTATTGCATTGGGAACATTTCTAAATTCTCAGTTTGCGTTTATGTGTCAAATAAAGGTGGATATCAACTCTAACGTAACACATAACCACCAATCCACCGATCTACTAAAGCTAACTAACCCCTTTATGCCCGCAACTGAAAATGAGAACACTTGCTAAAACCCTTTGGCAAAAAAGTTTTCTTATCACTCTTTATTTAGTCTTTAGGAACCTTCTACTGTTTTCCCTAGCTGTTTACTTACCTTTAGGAAACTTAAAGATACTTAGATATTTGAAGCCTTAAAAAAGATTCCACATGTTTTCAAAGATCCTGACTTTGACCATTGATAAGAAGTATGATTCTTCATGTGATCTAAACGTTTCAAGTCATACCGTTAGAAACCTACACATAGTTTGTCAATATTAGATTTCAAGACTTTAGAGTCTAAAGTCTTGAAATCTCATTGGTCTAAAGTTTAGACCAATGAGTAGAAAGGATGTGCTAATATCATCATAAATGTATAGTCTTGGGGACAAATTGTCTAATTAACGCGGTTCATATTGAATTAGTCAATCTTTCTACCCATCTCTCTGCAAAAGGGTTAGTGTGTTTCCTCTCATGTTGAACTATTCCTTTGACACTGCAAATGTATTGTTAAGCTTTCTACTGTTTATTAATGTTTAAAGACATAAATCCTAGTCTTAAACTTCTACCAAAATCTTAAAAAGTTGCTTTTTGGTTAGAGCCAAATTTGATTGCCAATCATAACGAAAATACCCACATTTTTGTTGAGATTTTTGTCTGTGCAGACAGATATACAAACAAATATTATAAAATACTCTGTAGTGGCAATAAATGACGCTGTTGGTTAATTAATCAAACTGTTGCTTATGGAGGGGGAAAAGGGGCTGCCTCACATTTGACCAAGGTTCATTTTTCAAAGGAAGAAAGCTTACACTTTTTCAATGTCTTTTTAATAAAAATATGAATTGTTGTCAATCCACTATGATAAATAATCCAAAGTAGTTTCCCATGAAGGGCCCTCACCAGTGTCTGCACCATGTGTGGTCTCTGCAGTCTGAGGCTCTTCACTGTCTGGAAAACATCCAGGATGCCCTCCGCCTTCACTCGCTCCAGGACTGTACTCAACGCACAGAAAGTCCCCGTCCGGCCCGCACCAGCACTGTGCGCGCACACACACACACACACCACAAGGAACAATGTAAACCTCAATATACACCCTGCAGTAAGCATGTTCAGAAATGACACGCACACAAGAGGCATTGTTGTGAGAGCACATGAGGAGCGTAGCAACATTTCTGGGAGCCGTTCAAATGTCAGAAGGAAGAAGAGAACAATTCTCTTGAGCTGTTTTTTCCTGTGACATAATAGCCGCAACAATTTCCCAGACACACACTCACACTCTATTGCCAGCAGCATTTCCGTTTGCAACAGCTATACAGAAAAAAATAAAACTATATCATCATCTTAAGGGCCGGGGGTTTTGTTTCCCATTTGTTCTTACACTGGTACGCGCTTGTGTGTGTGTGTGTGTGTGTGTGTGTGTGTGTGTGTGTGTGTGTGTGTGTGTGTGTTTACCTGCAGTGCACAGTTATGGGATGGTTGCCAGACTGCTGCTGCTGCTTCTGCACCGCAGCGATTATGTTGATCATGCCTTTCCCGTCCGCGGGGATGCCCACCTCCGGCCAGCCGTGGAAATGGAACTGACGCACCGCTCGAGCCTTGTTCTCCTGTAAGAGTAGACGAGGGAAAAAAAGAAGAGATAAGTAGCTTTATTTCCACTAAGCTCTGTGTACATATGCGAGACAAGCTGAAATGCATTCAGTCCTTTGGGAACCTCTGGGTTTTCCAAATTCCTCATTTTGGGGGTTTTTTCGGCCTGGAATTTGACCCGAAGTTCGCGAAAAGAATTAGGATTTTCTGACAGATTCTTCTTCTCTCTCTCACAGGAATTTAGCATTTACGCTTACACCCTGTTGAATCAGCTAACAGGCCATTTCATCCCTTCAATTGCTTGAATATTTTTGATATTAACATTGTAATCGTGGTTAATTGAATAAAAAATGATCTCAGATAGTTTAAAGTAATTTAATTTGCCAAAATATAAGGTTATCATAACCTTTACAATTCAAATCTTGATTAAATAAAAGATCCTTTTCCCACAACAGTTAAGAAAAAAAAAATGAAATGTATAATCCATCCACTTTGAACAATAACTTGAATAACGTCAATAACAATCTCAATGTAAGGAATATACTGTAATTTTCGGACTATAAGCCGCGCCTTTTTCCCCATTTTTCGACGCTGCGGCTTATATAACGGTGCGGCTAATCTATGGATTTTACAGGTTACAGTCCACCACCTTTAACTCTATGGGCTCTATGGCCGGTCCGCAACCCCCACCTTTAAGCGGCGGGCTTAAGCTGGAGCGGCGGCGAGCTAAAAGCTGGAGGCCAGAAAAGAGTGAGACAGGTAGCGCGCAAAAGTAAAAGTGGAACCGAGAGTGGTACGAGAGACAAGACAGACAGACATTACGAGAGCGAGACAGTTTGTCCCCGTACCACTGGTTGAAAACCACTGCTGTAGATCACTGCCGGTACGTGCGCTGGGAGCGCACCGTTTAAGTTTGAAAGTTGAAAAGTTTGTGTGTCTGAAACGCTATGTGATACAGTACAGTTTACACAGCACAGTACATGTTCTGTAGCTACTATTGCACTAAATGGTAACACTTGAATACGTTATGCAAATATGCAACTTGTTTGTTGAAATGTTAATAAATGGGAGCTTCCTCAAACAGCCATCTCTTTCCCGACAATCCCCTCTGTGCACGAACCCTTACATATGGTAATTAAACATTAAAACACCTGCGGCTTATAGTCCAGTGCGGCTTATATATGTACACATCATTCAATTTAGCTGCTGCGGCTTATATTCAGGTGCGCCTTATAGTCCGAAAATTACGGTACATCATTTAGGCCTACCATCACCTTTAAGAATATATCAAGGATAAAAGACTAATGGTCACAGCAGATTGTGGAAAAACTTGTCCATGCTTTTATCTTCAGAAGAATGGACTACGTGTGTAAATGGTGTTTTTACAGGTCTCAATAAAAATTTGTATTAGAAAGCTGCAGCTAATTCAGAACGGCTGTGCTACTCGCGAGTGCCTTGCACAACACTAAGGAAAGTGGATCACTTCACTCCGTGTTCTGAAGTCTTTTACACTGGCTTCCTGTTTTGTCAAAAGAACAGATTTCAAAATACTGGCTGCTGTTTATAAAGCACTGAATGGTGTTAGCGCCCCAAAATACATTTCTGACCTACTGCTAGAATGATGGAACCATCAGAACTCATCAGGCTTCATGGGGACTGGTAGCTTTCTGTCCCCAGAGTCAGACAAACAGGAAAAAGCAGCGTTCAGTTATTATGCTCCAAATTATCTGTAACAAACTCCAGAAACCTGGCAGGTCCGCTCCGCGCTGACTAACTTTAAACCACGACTAAAAGACTTTTCTGTTGCGCTGCTTTTAATTGAAGTATTATATCTTAGAACTGCACTCGTAGCTTTTATTCATGTATTTCTTCTTTTAATTGTTTCTTTTATTACCTTTGCTTATTTAATGACTGTTTATAAATGCCATTTTTTTTTTTTTATTATGTCTTTTTCATTTTATATTTTGTGTTGAAAAGGTTCTATATAAATAAACTGCCTTGCCTGGCCCGTTGTCTTGGCGAAGGTTTTAAAATGATTGAACCTAAACTAATATAATTTTCTGATCAAGATACTATATTACTGTAGCTAATTTATATTATCCGGGCACTGA